TAGCTGTCGTAGTTTTATGGGAAAAGCGGCACATGTGTTTCCAAGTTGCCAAATATAATATACTAGCTGGACCCCCTTTCGATGAAAGAAATGTTCGGTGCATTAACATCAACTGAAAGTCATTGGCCTCCTATATTTACACTCTATTGTAATGGAGCAATAAATCTTGAGAGAAAAGTCACACAAGTGTTTCCAAGTTGCCAAATATAATAGATTTATAGATTGATTCTCTAATTCGTTTTTGTGGTTTTACACTCCAGAATTTCAAAAGTGTGGGAACAACAGTGCGCACGGCTAGTAAACGGAAATCTCACTTGTTTACAATGGCGTCTTAGAAGACAGATTTTCCCAAGATTAGATCTAAACGAGACTAATGCAAAACTGAAAATTAAACTACAGTGACTTCAGGCTCCTTAAAAAATGTGCACCCTTTAAAAGGGAAAGGGGGGGGGGTACACCTAAAGGCTATCTCGCTTATTCCTGGACCGAATTTTACCACATTTCACACATATAACAAGCATACTATAAGGAGTCTTAAAAACCGCAATCACATTTGAGAAAAAAAGCTTCGTTTCCATGGAAACGGCGGCCATATTGGATTTTGTTGACATGTCTTAAGTAATGAATACCGCACTTACTGCTAATGGGAATTGATTGTTTTGCACAGTGGCGAAGCGTTTATATAATCAAATAATCACTGCTTCCCTTCCTAATTTTGAAACATTGTCGCTGTCAAATCCACCCATAAACGTAAACCTCATAAATTAAAAGTGAAAAGACGTTCATAATCAACAATGAACAGTATGCCTAACATTCAAAACGGTTTCACGGCCACAGAAATAGCCTGCTCACCCCTCTCGGGCCACTCCATAAGCAGTCACAAGCTTTGATTAAGTAAGCTTAAAGTGGGGCTGGAAGAGACTACCAATAGAGTTGAAGGGAACATGTGCATAGCAGTCAAAATTGTTTCATTGCCACATATACCCTGTTCACCCCTTTGGGGCCACAGTTATAAGCAATCACAAGCCCTGATTATGTAAGCTAACTAACACTAGTCGAGTCTACCTCACAAATGTGAGGGGAACTAACTCCTAATAATCTCTTGACTGCTGCAAGTGCTTGTTTTTTTTCCTCGACTTTTTACCGTCCTATAATCAAATCATGACCTCGATTATGATACCAGCTCCTAGACGCGAAAGGCTTGACAAAAACAGCCAAATGTGAAATTTTAAAAAAGATAATTGTCATGTTCTACCAAAGAGTTAGACTCACTGGTAGATCTATAACATATAAATCTAGTACTGACGTCTCTGCTTCTTTGCTTTGTCTTTGTGTATTCACATCTAAAGTTAAATTTTGTTTTAGTGGGAACTGATATTTAATAAGATACTTTCCCGATTATTCTGGCGGTTGAACATACAATATGAATTCCGGATTTGTTCTCATTCACAACTCAGAGTCGCCGCCTCGAGTAAGATTCTTGTGTGATATCTACAGGCAATATCTGGTCCCATTTCACTTTGATTACCCTGTCAAACAAGTCAGCCTTCGCCCCTGGTTTTGCATGCGTGTTCACAAATATTAGATCAAAAAATTTGTCTGTTGTTTTTTTCTTAAACGAATTAGAAAATTTCTTAATGAATTTTTTCCTGAGGTAGTATTCAAGTTTGCAAAAAATCCGTGAAAATCCACACTCAAAACACCCAAAACAAAAATCTATTTCATATACCAAAAATTCAACAAACAAATCTTTAGTATTACATCTTCTCTTCATTCTGTAAAAATTTCATGAAGAATGGATGAAAAATGGTGGAGTTATTTTAAAAAGTATAGAAAAAAGTAGCGTTTTGAGAAAACGGCCGATACAGAAAAGAAAATATTCACTTTATAAGGAAATGGTGGTGACAAACATGCACGGTTTGGGAAGGAATAAGGTTTTTGGGGTTTCTTATGCGATGAAATAGTTGTATGAGGGTGAGGAAGCTAAAAATGCCTACAACTCAAATTCCATAATTTTGAGCTGAATCGGGGGACCTAAAATGATTCTGAACCATCGTTAATTCTGTCAAATTCGAAATTTAAATGGTTGGGAAGTTTTAAGTCTCCAAAGTGACGAACTTTCACAAATGTAATATGTATAGATATTATTTTATATAAATAAGTAAACTTTATCAACGCTCTCCCGATTTAGCTGAATGTGCATACTACGTAAATCATATTTGCTAAATTATTCTGAGTTGGTGCCAATGTCACTCAATGCAAATCTGTCTCCGAAGACCGACGATATCGTTTTTACACGGCTGCAATCGAAGCCGAAATACATAACACAACTCTTAAAGTAAATAGATTCATTTTTTAAACAAGGGTAAAGGTTTAGTTTTGCATGACTATTTTTATTACATAACAAATGTAATGATAATTACTATGATGGTAACAAAATGATGATAAATATAATATCGTGGTAATGATAATGATAACAGTACTCGTATAAAAGAATAATAATAACAAAAATAATGCTAATAATAATTATTATTAATTATTATAGAATAATAATGATAATATAAGAAAATTAAATGATAATAAGAGCAATAATAATTATGATAACGATGATGATGATGCTGATGATGATTATTATTACATTGATTTCGTTAAAAAGCGCAAACATCACAAAATCAAGTAATTAGCTCCCGAAAAAACAGCAACAGGTATAACATAACAGTAGCTTCACCAATCCAAACGAAGTGGAACAACGCAATCTCGCAATTTCAAGTCGTTCGCGAAATGTTAGCAGGAGCGCTACAGCATGAGAACCCAAATACATGTACACGAATAGCACTGAGTGACCCAAAATGTCAATAAAAGAGAGCGCAAAAAAAAACAACAACCCACAACAACAACAGCCAGTGCATATTAATAAATTCAGTCGTTCGTTCACTTTAACGTTTGTGGTATTGTTCCTACTACTACTACTACTACTACTACTACTACTACTACTACTACTACTACTACTACTACTACTACTACAACTACTACTACTACTACTACTACTACTACTACTACTACTACTACTACTACTACTACTATTACTACTACTACTACTACTACTACTACTACTGCTACTATTACTACTTCTGCTACTACTACTACTACTACTACTACTACTACTACTACTACTACTACTACTACTACTACTACTACTACTACTACTACTACTACTACTACTACTACTACTACTACTACTACTACTACTACTAC